GGATATTTGGATTGATGGCACTTGCTCTCCCAAGTCACTGTGAGGCGTGAGGGGGCCCTGCTATCCTGGAGATGTGAAACACCTGCCTGCTCCTGGGGAATGGTGAATGAGTTCTTTGGGTTTTTTGCTTGCGTGTGTGGCTTCTGTATTCCCTATGCAACTGAAATGTTCTTCACCTGTGAGTTTCCCAGCTTTTACCCTTCCAATTCTCTGCCCAGTCCATCCCCCTGGTGGAATAGTGAGCAAGAATGACTGTGTGTGGAGCCTGCTTGCTGCCTGGGGTTAAACCACAACATGAGAAACAGAGAAAAAAGTGGTTTAAAAGCGAGAGGCGGAGGGATGAAGCTTCCAGACTTTGGGATGGTGGTGGTTTTTCTGTTTTCCTAAGGCTGCCTTCCTGTAGCCTGTCCAGCACCTGATCTATTTGGTCTCTGCCTCACCACTTCCAGTTTTTCTGGGACCAGTCCATTTGGGCCCACTGCTTTCCTCCTGATAGCTAGCACTTTGTGACTTGTCCCACAGCGTGCTGGAATTTTCTTTCCTCCCTTTCTTCACATCCATAGCAGGCAGCTATGCTGCATGGCTGTAGCCAGGGAAGCTCCCTGAGGTTCACCTCAGGTGGACAAGGTTCCATGGAAATGCCATAGCAGTGCAGCAGCAGCATGTCTGTGTATGCAGTGGGTGTGTTGCTTGGCTTTCCATGTTTTCATCAATCCTATCCTTTGGAGGCCCGTGTCCCGCTCTGTTCTGTAGTGAACATTTGAGAAGGTCTCTGAATGGCTTGGGAATGCAGCAATGTTGAGGTCGTGTTTTCAGTCCTGTCTCTTCCTGATGTTAGCTCTGAAGTTGTTGAGGTCGTGTTTTCAGTCCTGTCTCTTCCTGATGTTAGCTCTGAAGTAAATGGAGCAGAATGACAAGCTGTCAAATAGATGGTATTACACTGGTTGTTGGAAGCAATTATTCTTCAATTACATTTCAACATAGTCACAACTTTACTGTTGGAACAGAATGTTTGAGATAAAACATTCTTATGCCTCGTACTCCACAACAGGTGACCATGTAAGTTCTCATCTTGTTTGCACAAGACCAGTGGTTTACTATTCTCGTCAAGAAAGTACTTGAAAGCATGGAGCTTTATAATGTCTTGTGAGATTTTGAAAGAGGAAGGTATTTTTTATGTTTCTTGAAGAACTGCTGATTTGGAGGGTGAAACATGCAATAAATAGCACCAGTTGCCAGTATGAAGAAAGCTACTTGGTTCACCTGAAATCATAGAATCATAGAATGCTTTGGGATTTCAGGGATACTGGAAAGAGCTGTAAGGTCTCCCAGAGTCTTATCTTTGCCAGACTTAACAAGCCCAGTTCTCTCACCTGTCCCTCACAGCACAGGTGTTCCATCCCTCTGACCATCTTGGTGGCCTCCTTGGCACTTGCTCTAACAGGTCCGTGTCCTTCCTATGCTGGGGGCTCAGTGCTGTAGGCAGTGTTCTGGATGGGGTCTCACCAGAGCAGAGTGAAGATGCAGCCCCATTGACCTGCTGCCCACACTGCAGATGTGTGATGCAGCCCAGGACACAGGCTTTCTGGGCTGTAATCCCAGCTTTGTTGAAGGTGATGAGGTTCCCATGGGCCCCCTTTTTGAGCTTGTCCAGGTCCCTCTGGATGGCACCTCATTCCTCAGGCATGTCACCCGCTCAGCACGGTGTCACCCACAAATCGACTGAGGGTGCCCAAGATCCCTCTGTCTTCTGTCCTTGATGAAGATCGCACTGGTTCCAATATGGGCCCCTGAGGAACACCACTTTTCACTGATGCCCATAGGTTCAGCAAGCCATGGACTTGATGACACATACTACCATTTGGATATGCCCGTCCAACCAATTCCAATTCCACTGAACAGTTCTATCAAAGCCACCTCTCTCCCAATTTAGAGCAGAAGATGTTGTGGGGAATAGTGCCAAAGTCCTTACAGAACTCCAGAAGATGACGTCTGTAGCCTTTCCCTTGTCCGCTGGTGTGGAAAATGCAGGCACAGCAAGCTCTCAAGGCCTTGAGCATCCAGGCTCAGAGGTAGAGACAGATACAAAGTTTGACCTGAGACCTTGGAAAAGGCTTGGAGTTTTAGAACAATAAATTTGCAGAGACGTGAAGTACGACATAAAGCAGGAATGTGTTTTAAGCAAGCAGAAATACGCCTCATGTAAGGGAATAAATACGTTATGCAAGATGGTAGAAAATTTTAAAGTTAAACAATAAAATCAGTTACAGAGTTAATAGAACTCTCAATATGATTGGTGTTATATATATATATAAATGTATATGTTTATGTATATATGTATATATATGTATGTGATATATATTAGTGTTATATATAGTGTTATATGATGAGTCCGCAAACATGAAAAGAAAATTGTGCAAGAGAAGTAATGGCTTGACCAACAGAGGTGAAGTTTCACATGTGGCCCCTGGAAGAAAGACAAGATGGTGAGGGGCTCCAGAGTGGTTCTGATGGTCAATGGGGGCTGCTGGTGCTGCCTGGAGCAGCTCTGGACCTGCAGTGGCAGTTCCCTGCACCCTCTGTGTGGCAGTGATGGTGCCAGTGGTGCCATCAGTCCACCACGCTGGGCATGTGTGTGGGGATTGGTTCTGCCACTTTGCTGCCTCTTCCTATCACCCTGCTGGGCTCCTTCTGGCTTGGTTGGACCCAGTTGGTGTCAGTGTCACCACTCTGGGTTGCCTTGTTCTGCTGGAGCAGAAAAACAGACCTACATGCTGTCATGAATAAAATCTCTCAAGAAATCCACCCCGGTTAAAATACTGCGTTTAGTTATGTACAGTTAATGCTCTTATCCCATTTGTAAACCTTGTACCCCTTGTTTAGTCGGATAGTTCTTAGTAATGTTAATTACTTACCAGTTTCTGAAGTGTTTTGAAGTTTTTTATGAGACATTCCTGTACCCTTCCCCTTACTTGCTTGCTACTGTGTAACAAAGCTGCTCCCATGGGAGCTAAATCAAACCAACAAAAGCAACCCATTAGCAAGGTATGCCACAGAATGAGGCAACTCCCATGGATGCTGTGCCACACTAGAAGGAAGAAACTCCCAGGAAGCTGTGCAACCGAGTAGTATGCAAACTAAGGCATGCAAGACACCAAAACAACAAGCTAACAGAAGAATAAAAGGACAAAGAAACATATTCTAGCAAGTTATGATGAAAGATCATCTCCCTGTATCACCTAAGCCTGATTAGAAACCATCTTCCTGCATTACCATGACCTACTGGAAAGGACTGACCCCCCTAGACAACGAGCCAGAATATCAGGTCTCCTGGCTACTGTCATGAGGACAAAAGTCCCAGCTCTGAAGTGTGTGCTGCTGCAAAGCTGAATTGTGTCTCTTCCTTGGAGCTGCCAGTGTGGGAATGGCCGTGGTGCAAGCAACTCCTCGGGTCCCCCCCACCCCCCAAGAGCTGAATCCTAATAAAGGCATCAAGCAGGAGTCCTGTCTCCTGGCCAATTTCTTTCACATGCTAGCATGGCCCTGATGCTTTCAGCTGTGTGTCAGAGCTGTCACTTCCATGCCACCCATCCTCAGCCCTGTGTTCTAAGAAATACCGTGAAAGGACAAAAATGTGTGGGGGGTGGAAATGGTGGTGGGGCTGGGGTGTCAAGGCCTCTCTGCTAAAGCAAGCCAGACAGAACGATTCCACTTGCATTTCCAGTCATGGCATTTTCCTGCCAAAATGTCACACCCATGTTCAAAATGGTTTGAACAAATAGTGCTGAAAGATCCATGACCTTGTCTCTGTACACAGCAGAGACCTGTAAATGTAATGAAATTAGTGCTTCTCCTTGTTTGCTGCTTCTAGAAATAAGGAAGGTCCAGCTGGAACAAGACTTTTGTTTTTTCTCTCAGAAGCATTAGTACCCAAAGATCACAAATGTGGTTCCTCACATCCTGGTTCCTTCTGGGTGTTCAGCATCTCAGTGTGGGTTATAGGGGCTTGGTATGTTTTTTGAGTTACTCTTAGACGCCTGGAGCAATAGGTTAGGAACTAGGGGGGCTTTTTGCATTGCTTTGTAGCACAGGAGAACTTTGCAGGCTTTTTTTGGCGTTAGCTGTAGAGGAGGTCTGGTTCTATGCATGACTTCACAAAGCAGCCTCATGTGGCTGCTCTTGTGATGTCAGCAGCCACATGCCAGCGTTGTCAAGGCAAAGTTGCTGTGCCGAGGCGCGGAAGGCCTCAGTGTGCAGAGCGGCTCTTTGGCACGCTGGCTGCAGGCGGGACCTGCTGATCGACGAGGTCTCTGCCAGCCGGCTGCACCCGGACAGGACTCGGAGCAGTTTTGCTTTTGCTCACAGGTGTTGTCCGGTGCAGAGTTGCTCAGCGCTGCTCAAGCCATGGAGAGAGTGTGTGCTGCAGTTTGCACGGCTTTCTCTGTGGCTTATTCTGGGTACTTTTTCACCCACCTGGCCCGTAAGTAGGCATTTCTGTTCAGTGCAGCGTATGGAAACCAAAAAGGCCACGAAGGGGCATTTGGTTGGGTAAAGCTGCTGTCAACAGCTCCAGCTAAGAAGGGGGTTTCTCTAGCCAGTGGGGCATGGGACAGCATTTGTAACGTAGCCTGCAGGGTTTTCTGCTCCCACCACGGCATGGCCTGTGGCAGTGGAGTCTGGAATCTCCTCGCTTTGCTGACTCAAGGAAGACAACTTCCAGCATGGGAAGAGTGAGAGAGCTTGGCAGGAGGCCTTGTAAAAACTGTGCGCTGCTCTCTAGGACTGAGGGGAAGCATTTCTTGTCTGCATTCCCTCATGCCAGGATGTGCCTGTGAAACTTGACACTTCCTGTGTGCTAAAGAATCCATTAGCTCTATGATGAAATCACAGAATCAGCTTGGAAAAGACCTCTGAGGTCGACATTTCAAAAGATTTCTTGTGTGCTCCATAGCCCAGGAGCTGTTGCCATGCTGTGTCACCATAGAACTGCCACCATGGCTGAGGGGGGACTTGGGTGAAGCTTTTCTGGGCAAACGTTTCCAGCAAGCTCATGGCAATTGTTGCATGCAATGTCTTCAGAAAAGTGAAGCAGAGGAAAGAGAGGAGCTGTAGCTCCTGCTGGGTGGGGTGGGGCAGGAGCAGTGACTGTTACAGAAGCACTTGGACTTCCTGGGTCTCAAGTTTCTATGGGCTGAGTGGCCACAGAGGACAAAAGGTAGGCACAAGGCAGTATTTTGTGCTGTTGTCTTGCTTGCTGTGTGACACAAGTGTTGCTGCTGGAGGGACGTAGTGAAAGCAGAATGCTCTGGTTTTGGGTTGACTCTTTGGTGGGCTTGCCCAGTGTGGGAAGTTTTCTTACAGCATCCATCTCTTTTTCCCCTGTGTGTTGCAGGTCACATTGCCCATGCCTGGAGAGAATCCGGTCCATGGGTGAGTGGGAAAGGAGCCTTTGGCATTGGTAGCGTTTGACGGTTGTGGAGTAAGGTGTGAACTGGGCCTGGTGCAGCCTGGTGCCAGCCTGGTTGGACGAATGAAAGTAGGCTCTTTGCAGCAGCTGCAGCAGCAGCAGGAGGAGGAGGATCCCTGGCTGTTTTCTGGAGTTGCATTTCAGAGCTTTTAATCAGATGAAAGTTGGGTTGCTTGGTGCTTTAAGGCATGATGGAATTGCTCCCGTACAAGAGAGTGCAGTCCCATGTAATTGGCCCATTTTACTTGGGTTTGAGCAACTTAGAATCCCATTTGTCTCCAGATGATTTCTCCTTACTGCATCTGGGTCTAGAGCTGAATAGAAAGAAGGTTGCCTGTCCCTCTCGCTGCTGTCTGTCTGCAGAGCCCAAGACCAACCTCAGAGCCTCCAGTGGCTGTGTGTCTTCCTGAAGAAGAGGCCAAAGGGAAGGAAGATGCCCTCCAAGCTGCACCTGCTGCCACTGCAGGGCCTGAGCCTCCAGCATCAGTAAGTGGCAGCTCTGGGTAGCCCTGTGGCTGCAGGAAAGCAAGAGGTGCACGTTTCTGATCAGACAACACATCCTCTGTGTGGCTGCAACTGCTGAGGGCTGGAATCTTTCCAGCCCTTCCAGGGCATTTCCCCAGCCAATGAGGCCTGGAAAAGGGGTGTGGTACTTGGAGGTTCAGGCATCAGCCTCCACTGTTGTGACAGGGGCCATGAATTTGTTTCAGGAAGAGATGAGAGGTAGCATTAGGATGTCTTTGGATGCTCCTGGGGTCCAAGTGAGGCCCTTTGTGCCCAGTGGCTGTGCAGGCGCCCTGTTCCTGGTGAAGAGAGCAGTGCAAAGATGCAGTTCACAGCCTTGCAGGATATGGAGGAGACACTGTCCCCAGGAGGGACCTGCCCTCTCCTCCAAGCAGCTGTTGGTAGCTAAAGGAACAGTTGAGATGCAGCAGGGCCTGTAACTGAACATACATAAGGTTGTGAGTGGCAGGTTCTCTCCTGTCCCTCACGCTGCTGTCTGTCACTCCACAGAGTGCAAGGGCAGCGTCAGCACCTGCTCTGGCTGCCTCTGTACCTGAGGAAGAGGCTGAAGAGGAGGAAGGTGCCATTGAACCTGTCCCTGCTGTGAGCCCACAGCCTGAGCAGGCAACATCAGTAAGTGCCTGCTTTGGTTAGCAGTGTCTTTGGTATCATTTTGTCCGTCATGTAAATCGGCCTTTGGGTTTTGTGCCTTGAGTTGGAGAAGTGGGTAGCAAAAGCCGAGAGGGGAAGAGGCCTGCATGAGGCCTGCAGCATCTTCCTAGGGGCTTGCATTTGAAATGGGGCATGTCTGCACAACCCAAATTCTGACCCAAATTCCTGTCTTGTCCCAGAGCTCCACCTCCTCAGTCGCTGCACCTGCACAAAATTCAGCTGCGGGCTCTGAAGAAGCCTCCAGGCCTGAAGCTGGAAACTTCAGCACGAGCAGCTCGTGCACCTGGAGCACGAGTAGTTCCTCTGGCAGCACAGATGGTCTGCGTGAGAGGAAAAAGGATGAATGCCTGGCCGTGCTGAGTAGGTCCTTTGTGATCCTTGTCTGCTGGAGCAGTGCCTTGTGTGTGCATGTGTCAGCATGAGCTGTCCCACCTCCTGTTCTTCCTCCTCAGCTGAGTGTCGGGTGCTGAGGCCTCCACACAGGACGTGTTGTTGTGCTTTGAGCACAGGACGTGTTGTTGTGCTTTGAGGTGGTGAGGGAGCCACGGGGGTGTTGCTGCTGCCTCTGAGGGCAGCTCGGCCTGGCTTGGCTTTGCCTGAGCTTCCCTCCATGCAAAAGGCAAAAGAGGGATTGTTTGTGGCTCTGAAGCAGGAGGCTGTGACCTAGCGAAGGAGGAGGCCTCAAGGAGCTCCTGTGGGGCCCGGCTGCTGTGGGGCACAGCCAAGGTCATCTGCAGAACTTAGCCTGTCCTAAAGGCTGGGGGACCTCCTTCCTAAGGCCCATCACACTAGGTCAGAACATGAGCTGCTGCTCTTGAAAGGCAGGCGGGCATTGTTTAGGCAAAGTCCAGCTTAAAGGTGGAGATTGTGCCTTTGCTGGAAGCACTTTGCAATGTTCTTCCTGTTCTGGAAAGGGCAGCTGTTGATAAAAACTGATTCCAGAACCCAAGATGCCTTTGATATTAGCAAGGTTTAAGGCTTTTGTTGAATGTCACAGGCTGTTTATTGTCCAGAACAGAAAGGTTTTGTTCTTCCTGTGGCCCTTAATGTTTATAGACAACAATCACTTTACTTGGTTATGGTTTTCTGATCCCTGTCTCCTCTGACTGTTTCTCCATGTGCTTGGACATGTTTAGTTTAGGCTTTTAGTTGGGTGCAGGCCGTCTGTGCTGCAGAGCTGCTTGTCTTGCTGCTGCTGTTTTTGTGGTGGTGGTGATGGTGGTGGTGCGGTGGTGGTGTTGTTCCCCAGCTGACTGAGCTGAAAGGGCCCAGTGTCCCAGATAGTGGCCCTGCCTTTCTGATCTGCTGCAGCGTGGCATCTCTGTCTTGAAATGAGCATCTTCCCTTTGGATTTTTGCAGGGATGCTGGTGAGCGAGGGAGATCCAGAGGCGAAATACACAGAACTGGAAACTATTGGCAAAGGGTGAGTGCAGCCACAGTTCCTTCCTCAAAGGGAGGGGCTGCGTATTTTGCTGGTGTCACATCTCCCCAGAGTGACGTCAGGCAAGCTCCAAAGCTGTGCAGACGCTGTGTTGAGATGCTGCCATCTCTCAGAACTTTAGAGCTTAATTTATAATATTTATAGCTGTGGTCCGAAGGCATGGCAAGGACATCTGGATGCTGGCAATGTCTTTTCTGCAGCAAAGAGTAGCACCTGGCAGATGTCCTGTCCCTCAAGTGTGTTGTGCCTGTTTGCCGCTTGTCAGAGGAGAAATCGAGTCTCAAGAGAATAGAGACTATGTGGGAATGAAAGGAGGCAAAACTTCATTGCCTCAAAGATCCAGGTAGCGGTCAGGTCAAGATAGCTGTCAGGGGACAGCTCTCAATAACATTTCTTTCCAGTGTTTTGTGGAAAACAAGATTCAGTGGTCAGGATGAGCACCACCTAGTGTAGAAGGCAAAAGCAGAAATGAAAGCAGCAGCTCTCTTTTGTAGCTGAGGTGGCAAAAGCCAAAGCTTCAGGGGATGCCCAGTGCCAGTGCACTCTACAGGAAAAGGCATCATCTCCCTGATGGCAGAACCCCTGTGGATCCTGTGGGGTTTAGGCCTTTCCTGCAAAGAATCCACCCAGCTGTTCCCTTTTGAAAGCCAGCTCTGCTGACTGTAAATGGGATTGATTTGCAGTATTTCCTCTGTGAGGAGCCAAATGTACAAGAACTCACAGGAAAAGTGGAGGCCTTCCTGTGCCCTGGGCAGTGAAGAGAAGCAGCTGCCGATGGCTCTGGACCCAGAACACAGCTGTCTAAGGATCCTGTGTTCTGAGTACTTCTCCATTTGTCTGTGCAACAATGGAAGCCTTTGCCTGCTCTGGCTGTGGCTGCAGCTAAGGCTGGAGACTCCTTTCCATGCTAGCTGGAAGAAGGATGTGTGTCTGGAGGCTTTCCTCCGATGGCTGTTACATGGCTTCAGGCTTCCCAGAAGGCCTGTGTGGTGGTGCCTGAGTTTGGCATAACCTCCAAGGAGAGGTGTGCAAAGGCCCAAGTGGCACGTGTGTGCCTGGAAAAAATCCCACACATGCACAGATAGAGGAAGAGAAAAGGGTAAAAAGACCCACACCAGGATCTGGGCCATGTTCCATTTGCTGTTTGCACCAGGGCTCCTTTTCCTATTGGACTGCGGTGTCTTGCACTTGCTTGCAGGGACTAAAGGACCTCGCCTTCCTAAGCTGTTGTTTTGTTTCTAGGGGTTTTGGCACGGTGTTCACGGCAGTGGAGACTGCCACAGGAGAAGAGGTAAGCGTCAAGCAGCGCTGCAGCTGCTGCAGCTCTCAAGTGCCCTCCCCTCTGCTGTGAGCTGTGCCTGAGCTTTGGGTCGCCGGTCGAGCTTTGCTGCAAAGGCAGATGAAGCACAGAGTAGCGTCTGCCTGCCAAATACCGTGGGGACAGATTTTGTTCTCCTCAGCTGCCCCAAGGAATGCAAGGAGGCCAAGCAGTATCTTTCAGAGGAGGACACGCTGGCTGGGTCTTAACACCAAGGTGGTGTCATAGAGCATGGCACTGCTCTTTGGGGCTGCAGCTCGGGGTTCCTGAATTCTCATTTCTGGCTGCTCGCAAACACGTGGGAATTGTGCTGGTAGTTCCTTTGCCACCTGTAGTGCTGTCCTTGGGAACTGTGCTTAGAGAAAGAGGTCTGCAAGGAGTCCCTCAAGGGCTTAAGCCCTGCTCAGAGCCTGCCTGGCGTGTATTGCTAGAGGATCAAGGAGTGGGTTATTTCTTTTTACAGTCAGGCAGTAATTGCAAATGTCAGCGATGTGAAGGAAGGTGTTTTAGTGGAACGGAATGAAAGTTCCTGAAGCGAGGAAGAGCTAGGATTGTCTTTTTTGGGGGTGTACTCAATGATGTTTTCATGGTCATGGCATTTTTTTCTGTAAAGTATGCAGGGTTGTATTTCTTCGGGGGAATACCCTCAGGATGTTTTTAGGACGGCATTTTATCTGTCATGTCTGTAAGAGTTTGCTTTCTGTTGTGCAATGGAAAACAGTGCCAGTGGCTGCTGGAGTAATGATGAAGCCCCCTAGAATTGCCAAAGCTTTGCCAGCAGTTTTGCTCGGTTTTCACCAGCACAGAATGGCTTCCTGCTTCCAAGAGGTGTGTGAATGAAAATGATGATGATGATGAAATAAGGCCCTGGGGAAGACTGTGGGCACAGGGAGTGACATTAGAGTTTTGAGGTGGAGAGTTTAGGACCTGGTGCTTCTCCTGGGTTTACAAGGCAAAGGATGTCTGGCTCTGTGTCCTGGGACAGGCGCCCAAGGAAGCGGTGTAAGAGGCTCTGGCAAGCTCAGTTTCGAGTTCCTCTGATATCTAGTTGGAAGGGAGTTAAGCCAAGCCCAGCTCTGTCATCCCAAGATCACTTTCTCCATGTTCCCCTTGTGATCTTGTGCCACAGATTTCTTTGGTTCATGGTTTTCCATGGTTGTTTTAGGTGGCCATAAAGAAAATTAGTCTGGTGGAAGACAGCAGCAGTGAACTGTGTGTGAATGAAATCCAGGTCATGCGTGACAATAAGAACTCCAACATTGTGAACTACATAGACAGGTGAGTGGTTCTGCTATTCTGCCGTGAAGGGTCCTTCACACCCTGCAAGCCAGAGGTTCAACCACTCCTTTGGTGGCTGGCAGAGGATGGAGCTGTTAATTCCTGTTTCTGGGCTGATCTACAGCATCTTGGGAGGAGATTGCATTGGGGCTGCATTAATCTTTGTGGGCATGCATAGTTTGAAGTGCTCTTTCCAAGACCTGACTCGGCCCTGTCTTACTGAGCCAAGAGCCTGAAAGTTCCTGCCCTCTCTCCACATTGTTTTGTTGGGTTTAGGGTTTGATTTTTTTTCCTATGGGTCTTAAGTGCTGCCCAAGCACTGTAGATCGTATTTCCCTCAGCCTGTTCCCAGTGTTTTGCACGGGTGTGGATACCAAGAAGTCTTTTAGACTGCACAGAGTTCAAGCCCTGTAGAACCTAGTGAAAGACCATTGACTTCCTCCTGTCTTCCTGTGTGAGAGACAGGGAAACAAGAATCCGTGATGTAAATGCAGGCATTCATTCCCGGGCTGTTGCTTTCTCCTTTCAGCTACCTGGTTGACGAGGACCTCTGGCTCGTGATGGAATACATGGACGGAGGTTCTCTGCACGATGTCATTCGAGAGACTCGTATGGCAGAAGGAGAGATAGCAACTGTCTCTCGGGAGGTAAGGGATGGTGCTTGTGCCTCCCATGGCTTGGGCGGGCTGCTCCTTCCCCATGGCTGCTAAGGAGAGGAGTGGTGTCGTCTTCCAAGCTTCCTTTCTGCCTTTCTGTTACGACAGGCAGTAGCAAGAGCACCTGAAGTGCCTGCCAGTGTGCCTGCCCTTCTTCTGGTGTGTTTGTTTGTGTTTGCCTCTCTAAACACTTGCCTGGAGCGCGTGTGAAATGCACTCCTGCTGGAGGGGGCACAGCCACTGCAGGAGTGATCTTGCAGTCTGTGTTTGCAGGGCCAGAGGAACAATTGCCCTTTCTCTTTCAAAAGCAACTACAGCCTCAGTTAGAAAGGCAGCGCTGTCCTTGTGTTGGAGCAGCAAGCTCTTGGCCTTGCCAGCAGCGTGTCCTGCCATGGCTGAGCATCCCTCAGCAAGTCAGTCTTGCAGATGTGCCACTTCCCTGTTTGTGGGATGCAATCCGAACGGGAACTCTTAGGCTGGTGTTTCTTTTTCCTCTCTCAGTGCCTGCAAGGCCTGGATTTCCTTCACTGCAAGCAAGTCATCCACCGAGACATCAAAAGCCACAACATTCTCCTGGGCTTGGACGGATCTGTCAAGTTGGGTGGGTGTCGTTGGCCAGGCTGAGCTGCGGTGGGCTGCGGTGTGGGGCTGCCTTTGGGTGACTGCCAGTTCCTCAAGAGTGGTGCCTGTGGCAGGGCAGGCTGCCCTGCTGCCAGCGCAGAGCGTGGCTGCGAGGTGCAGGGAGGTGTGGCTGGCAAGAAGGTGGTGTCAGGAGTGGCCTTGGGTTGTGTGTGTCCCTTCCTGAGCGAGGCAATTACAGTCTAAAGCTTCAGGCAGCTAACAGCCACCGCATGAAACTGGGGGCTTTTGCTAAGCGGCCAATTCCATAGTTCCTTGGCTGCAGGCCTGATGAATGCCCATACGGCCCCTTTTGCAGCTGGATTCCACACTGCTTTCTTGGACGTGGTACCATGGGGAATTCTTTTGTTGGCTTTCCTAATTTGCGTTGCCTTGATCAGAGTGGTTTCTTCTCCTCAGCTGATTTTGGCCTCGCTGCTCAGCTCACTGCTGAGCAGAGCAAACGGAGATCAGCTGTTGGCACTACTTACTGGATGGCGCCAGAAATTTTCACCAGGAAGCCCTATGGCCCCAAAGTGGACATCTGGTCCCTCGGCATCGTGGGGATCGAGATGGTGGAAGGAGCGCCTCCTTACCTGATGAAAACCTCCCGCACGGTACGCTGCAGCTACTCTCTGTCACTCTAACAGAATCTGTCCCCATCCTTCTGCCTGAGAAGCTTGTTAACACCTGGAGACGATAGGTTCCAGGCTGCATAGTCTCTTGAGCTTCTTGTCCAGATCATCCCCCTGCCATTTCATCATGAAAACCACAAAACAACGTGATGCCTTTTGCTAGATGGAAGCGCTGCCTAAGGGAGCAGGGAGCGGTGCTGCGCTGCCTTTAATGGAACAATACTTGGGAAAAGTAGAGTTGGAACAAATTCTACCATCCAAGTTGCCTGTAGAGCTAGTGTCAGTGCTCAGAGAAGCAAAGTGTGCTTTTGCTGATGGAGTTGCTCCTAATTCCATCAGGCAGTGAAATCGGGGGTCAAGGCAAGGGCCTTTGCATGTTGGAGTAGCTGTGGCTGTAAGTGGCTTTGGGATCTTTTGGCTGGGGTAGGAAAGACATCTCCCAGCCTCTGGCAGGCAGGCAGGAAGATGGCACTGGAGAGTGGAGCTTGTCTGGTGGGGGGTCTATTTGAGCAGTTTGGGCTGCGGAGGAGACAGGTAGAGTTTGGTGTTTCCTTCTTCTCTAGGTTCAACAGCTGATAAGCTCCGGGGGCTCCCCAAAGCTGCAGAACCCCAGGCAGCAGTCGCCTTGGTTGCGGGACTTTCTGCACTGCTGCCTGGAGACAGACGAGGACAGGCGCTGGTCTGCCCAGGAGCTTCTGCAGGTAAAAGGCAAAGCAGCTGCAGGGTGCGCCAGCTGCCCGCTGCCAGGGGCTCCTCATCTGCTCAAGTGCAAGGCATCAGATGGACCCCGCTCCTAAGAATGGTCTGGGGGCTTTCCAAAGGAAAACAAAGGAGAATCCTGGCCCGGGGTGGGTTGGAAGGAGCTTTTCAAGGTCTCCCAGACCAAATCTCCTTAAGCTGAAGACATCTGTATCAATGGAGTCGTGGGATTGTGAGCCATGGATCGTGGGATTGTGAGCCATGTTTGCCTGTGGTCGCAAGGTCCTGGATGTGGAGACAGAGGTGCACAGAGTGCCCTCATTTCTGCATTTATTCAGTAGCCAGAGAAAGCTTGTTTCAGCCTGTGAGGAAAGTTCATTTCTTGTTTTTCTCTTGGTCAGCATCCGTTTGTAACCTCAGCCAAGCCACCCTCCAGCCTGACGCCTCTGATCATGGCAGCGCAGCAGTTTATGGCCGACAGGAGATACTAGCCCTGGAGGAGGCCATTGTTGTTTTTTGTAGTTTGTAGTTTGTTTTTTGTAGTTTGTAGTTTGTAGTTTGTAGTTTGTTTAGATTGATAGTCAAAATAAATAGTTATCTCTGTTTTGGAAGACAAAGTGTCTGCTAAAGAGGGCAGGAGCCTCCCCTGGAATGAGAGTGTAGACCCCCTCCCTCCGAATTATTATAATTCTGAAATCAAGGGGCTCTCAGGCAGAGATCTGGGGATAGGAATAACAGTTCTTTACTGGAATTTATATCAAGGCTAACATACAACAATAAGTACAGCGCTAGGAAAGAAACAGAACCAGGGACCCCATGACAGCCTTCTGGGCTGAGACGGGAAGGGATGGAGGAGAGGCTTTGCTTCACAAACCCCCTCGGGCGGGCAGTGCCGGTGCTCCTGCAGGGCTCTGAGGAACACTCAGCTGAAGCAGCAGGGATAAGCTGAGATCCTGGGCTGGTGGATGAGGTGGATCAGCAGCTCTGCAGCAGTGACTGGCACTGCCACACATCCTGACAGGACAGGGGTGTGAGGCCACCAACGAAGAGGAAGAAGGAGAAGCAGCAGCAGCAGCTCCATCTGGGTGAAGGCGACATTCCCTTCTCCACACTGCAACAGCTCTGCACACCCAAAGTGTCCTTCTCCAAAGCTGAAGAAGCCGCCAAACTGTCCCCACCCTCCCCTTTTTTTGTACCCTTCTCCCCCTGGGCCCGGCTGAACTCTTTGTGCTCTTCAAGTATCCACCACGTACCCCCAGTTAGGTTTTTCCCACAACTAAGGGGTAAAAATTCCACAGGTAACTGAAAGACCTAAAAGAAGGACACCTAACCCCCAACAATAATACAAAACCTTCACTGTGTGGGAAGCTTCCCTTTGTTCTCACCCTGTGAATAAACTCTAAATTTGCTTCTGAATGGCCAGGTGTTTCTTAAATATGGGAAGACCCATGGATGGGGTTTGTGGCACAGTTTGGAAGTGGGCAAAGGTCTTCTTCCTTCATTGCCTCCAGGCCACAACCTCTTGTGGACATGCAGGCTTGCAGCTGTGAACAGAAGAGCAGAGCAGGACGAAATGGAGCAGAGCAGTGGTGTCACTGCTGGGGACGCCACAGGGGCTGTGGTTGTGTTGCAGCTGCTGGGCAAGGTTGGGAGTGTCTGTGTTGCTCTGGGCAGAGTGGGAAGCAGCCGGGCTTCTCTTCAGGCTCAGGCGCAAGTGAGTGTCCAGCGGGAATGGAAGTTCTGCCATGGGAACCAAGGCTGATGTGAGGGAGGGAAAATTTGAGCAGATTGGATCTGTGTGAGCCACGGCCTCTCTCAGCCTCTCTCTCTTTGAGACTGAGACTCCATCAGTCTCAGCTTCACATTCTCAGCAGTGTGAAATGTGGCTCACTTCAGATAGAATTAAGAGGGGACAAATTCTTTGAAGCACTATCTATTTAGTGATCCCAACAAATCAGCTGAGTTGGGCGTGTGTCTCTCCTCTGAGAGCTGCACACCCACTTCATTGAAATGGCAACCTTTTTATACCCTTTTGTGGCCAGGGGTCCCTGTTCCCTTTCCCATTGCTTGGGTACTCAGGAACTTTCCCTATCTCCTGACTGCCTACCCTGCTCCCAGAACCTCCTTTCCCCTCCCCTCCCATCTTTCTCCCTTTTCTGGTTGCATCTTCAAATGCATTCCTTTTTTGGTTCTGGACAACACTTAACAAGTGTAAAGAACAGATCAAACAAACCCCATGTAAACCATAGAAAACTGACTGGAGATCAGAATTTCATTTTCTCCTTTTTTTCCTCCATTTCTGTTCTGGACTGAAGCAAAATGCTTTCTCATGTGGTCCCATGGCAGCCACCACATCTGAAGGAGCTGCCCAGACAGAGCTCCCTTGGGCTTGTGCTGCATGAGAGGCTGGGAGGAGACGCAGCCAGGACAGGTGACCCAAAGTGGCCAAAGGAATATTCCAGACCATCTGACATCCTGCTATGTAGTTCAAGCTGAGTGCAAGAGGGAGGAAGGAGGAAGGAGGGGATATTTCGATTGATGGCACTTGCTCTCCCAAGTCACTGTGAGGCGTGAGGGGGCCCTGCTATCCTGGAGATGTGAAACACCTGCCTGCTCCTGGGGAATGGTGAATGAGTTCTTTGGGTTTTTTGCTTGCGTGTGTGGCTTCTGTATTCCCTATGCAACTGAAATGTTCTTCACCTGTGAGTTTCCCAGCTTTTACCCTTCCAATTCTCTGCCCAGTCCATCCCCCTGGTGGAACAGTGAGCAAGAATGGCTGTGTGTGGAGCCTGCTTGCTGCCTGGGGTTAAACCAGAACACAGGGTCACAGGAGATTCCTCATCTATGCAAATGAATCTATTGGTCCCAGTGACTTTTTTGGAGCTGCAGAGGAACTGTGAAGCTGATCTGCAAGTGTAACATTCAGCACTCCATTCAGTACCAGAACAGGTACCTGCCAATCACAGATAAGGATTTCTTTGAAATTCCATTTTTCTCTTCAACAGTTTCATCTTTTTGAGCTGGGATGTGAATGTTTGAATCCACAAAATATGAAATCTAAACCTTTGCTAGGTGCTGAGTAAAGGTTACATCAGTGTGTACTGACATGGGATCATTGAACCATAAAATCACAGGATCATAGGATGGTCTGTGCTAGAAGGGACCTTAAAGATCATCTAATTGCAACCCCTCTGCCGTGGGCAAAGACATCTTGCCCTATACCAGAGCTCAGAGCACTATCCCAACTGGCCTTGAACACTTTCAGGGATAGGGCATCCACAACTTCTCTGGGAAACCTGTTCCAGTGTCTCACCACCCTCACAGTAAAGAATTTCATTCTAACATCTGATTTAACTCTCCTCTTGTAGTTTAAAACCCTTCCCCCTTTTTTTACCACAGTCTGTCCTACTATAATGCTGTACTACATAGATTTCAGAAATCTTTACCTGAAACACCATCAAGACTATTTTTTTCTCCCCCACAATTTCACAAAATATTATAAGGGAACTTTTTTTGCCTTTTTCTTTTGCTATTTATTTTTTTTTTTAATCAATGAAAAGAGTCTTTTCATTCCTTTTTTTGATGTGAAATTTCTGTGGGAAAAAAACCCTGGTGCTATTTGATAAAAATAGCTAAATGTATGACTTTAACCTTGAGGGATACAGAAGTTAAAGGATATTTAGATTTCTAAGGATGCCTTCACATTTTTTATGTTCTGTCATTGAATGTTAATAATGAATGTGGCTTGAAAGTTTTGGAATGCAATGTCATGTGCCTGAAAGCCAAGAGTATCACAGATATGATCTTTAAATTTATTTTGATTAGAATTCACTGTACCATGTCATGTACGCTTCCCCTTTCTGGATGCTGTATATGTTGTATAACCATGCAAATAATTTCAACAAAAATAATAAAGAAATAGATACTTCTAAAGGCACAGTACCATATTCCTGTCCTTGGTCTGGAATTTAGATCCTGTTTTCTCTCATAAATGAATTTAAAAATCCAAGAAGATATAATGTCTGTATGAGTTAAGCATGTGTTCTGAAAATCAAAAACATAGAATTTTCTTTTTTCAATAGTATCTCTTTTTAGAGCTTGCCATCAGAATGAACGCATGTTTTTTTCCTAGCATTCAGTTCTTTTTTTTCTTGCATTCTAATTGTATTTGCCTTTTTTTTGTTTTTTGGTTCAACACATTTTTCCTTCAGTAAGACAAGCCTATCTGACCTGTGTCAAAACTATGTTTTATTTGCAAAGGTCTTCATCAGTTTCTTCCATTAAATGAAAATCTAAAGGGGCAGCATGCTGACAGCCTGTGTAACAACTCAGAGGGTTCTGTTCACAGAATAAATTCTCTATGTGTTGAAGAACTAGTAAACTTTCCTTTCCAAAATTGTGTCTGTGACATGATCAAGGTATTCCCAATATTAAAATAACTGTGCCATGATTAGGACTTTGATTGCTAATAATGATCATGATTATCACCGTCAAGATTTTTTTACTCATACCTAATCAGCTAACAATCCAGACATTTTGCTTTGTCACATGAAAGGTGGGTTTTTCAAGTGATTGAGACTACTGGATTAATTTATATGCTAGATATTAGCAAGGAGCAATAAATATGTCAATAATTTATTAGGGAAACTGAATTCTCTGTTATTGGAAGTTAAGGTTAAGCACCTTTTGAAAGCACTGGAGACACAGCCACTCTTGCTCCCATACTGGGACAGGAGAAAAATGGTGTGAATTATTTGTATGATTCAACAGACTTGACAAGGAGTCAGAGACCTGAAGACCATCTGAAATGGTGTCAGAAGGCAGTTGTGATGGAGTTTAGGTTTAACAGCTGAAGTATCAAACATAAACCCAAGATGCACTTCTGCTCCTACCAGTGCAGAGCCCTTCATATTCTCTATCTCATTCAACAAGAAATAAAAGGAGGCAGCATTCTGAACACATTCTTTCTTACCTACATTGAAACTTGGAGTTTCAAATGCTTCATGTCTTTTCTCCCTTAGTCTCCTTGTCTTCAAGACAAAAAAACAAGCATCAAAACCTAGAAACCCTTGTTTAGCATCTAATTCCAAACTGGGTATGTAATTCTGGAAAGCCTTTCAGCCAGAGGATCACTGCTCAGCCCAGTCTCTTAACCCAGATGTAACCTCACTAAGTGTTTAACAGAGTTCTAATGTTTTTTTTTCCAAATTATTCCAAGAGGAGCCTCACAAAAGGGAAGGCATATCAGCCTTCAAACCCTTAAAGTTTTGCCTTTATTTATTTCTGTGGAGATTTCACAGTATTTGGGGATTTCTCAGTATTTGACATTCTTATTGTCTAAAATCCCAGATTAGTCCTGTTCTTCATTAACTCTCTTCTGATTTACAGCATCCTCTTTTCATAGGCACTTGGTAATTCAGAATAATGGGTTTAGATTATGATCCCCTTCTTCTTTATTGTCATCAATACCGAAAAGTTAATTTCAAATGGAAGATGTATGCAGCCTTACTGTAATAAAGAAATATTTTGATATTCACTGCTGGAAGTTATACAGCTGTATTTCTCATGGTGGCAGATAACTTAGAAAACTTGCAAGACAAAAATGTTCTACCAAAACCAAAAAAACACATATTTTCATGCATATATCTAGATATGTTAAGATAACTCATGTATTAAAGTAAAGATTGTGTTTGACTATATGAACAGCTCTTTGTGTTTGATGAATAAACCAGGGCAGGCTCTCATCTTGTAATGCTGAATAGCTTCATGGCAAGAACCCATGGTGTCTCCTGGGAAATAAGGTGCTCCTCAGCAAGATAAAGTGCACAAGGACCTTTACTATTATGTTCTGTATTATCAGGGGACAGTAAGATCACCACACCTTGTGTAACATTGCTGTAAGTGCCTGGATTTTGGAAAGGATATTATTAGTTAGTTAGGGTTAGTTTCTTGTTGCCATTTAACCTTTGCAATCAATTTGGGATCTTTTCCTTATCTTGGAATTAAATACACCATGAAACTAACTGGTGATGCCATGAAGAGCTGCGAATCAGTATGTATCAATTTTTCCAAGTGTAATGTAATTCTCAGGAAAATCTTAGATTTGTTCGCACTTTTTTCTGCAATGTTCTCTATGTAAAGCAGCCATTTTCTCCTGATATTTTACATAGTTTGTTCTGCAAACCTTGTGTAACAATGTTATTACCTTTCAGAAGGCCAAGTGACAAGCAGATAGCTAAAGGATCTGCCTCATATGTGATCTGAGAAAGTAATCAGCAATTAGTTTCAGTCCAGTGTAAAGAGCTGTAAACTGCATACCACTAATACAACTTGAGTTTTAGGACATTTCTATAGGACACAATCCAGCCTTGGCAATCTAACAGCATAAAGTCATGGCCTATAAATGGAATATTTTTATTTGCACTGACTTTTATATATGAAAAAAAGTTATTGAAACTTATTTTTCACTGTTGTTTTCAGACAGTTTTCATCCTCCTTCTAATCCTAAGGTCTATCCATCCAGTTAAAAATACTCTTATACAACAACTCATTTCATGTAAGGGAACATTCTTTGCATTAGGAGGCTAAGTTATTGTGACTGTGTGCTTTAACATTAGCTTTTACCTTTTTTATCCTGTCACTGAAAATTACTTTCAAAAATGCTTTTCAAGCAAAAATATTAGTGGTCCTTGAACAAGTACTCCAAAGTTCATTTAGCATCCTTCATCACAAGTTGCAGAAATAGTTGGGTATTTAGACTTTTAACTAACAGAAAAATGAAATGAATATTTCAGCTTCTGTCCAAGAGAAGAGCCTGGTATAACTAACCCAAACCCCCAGAATGATTCTGCTCTTTCTTGAGGTTTTTCTATTAGGAAAAATCCTCCTGAATCCCATCCCGTACCTCAGCAAGCACAATTTTGAGAAATAATCAGGTATCAGGAGTTTTGTCCTGTATGCTTGGAAAGAATTACTTACAGCACTAGTGCTCCTATGAAGAAGACATTTCTCTGAAATATGGATAGAATTTAAAGAAGGGGGTTTTACATCAGCCATTGTTACCACTTGGAGCTACACCTGGAGCTGAAGTAACCAGGAAAGCTATGCGAAATATAAAACAGGTCACTGTAGTCAGGGCCTTCTCAGGTTGACCTCCTTAGGTGCTTTTTTTGAACATAACTCCACGAAGTGCAATAAATCCATGGTTGTAATGATCTCATCTTACTGCTACAGAGGTTTAAAATTCAAAAGAGTGAAGTCTCTGTTTAAAGCCAGTAATCACCACCTAATAAAGGCCATAATGGAAAAGCTGAGGGACCTTTTCCTTAAATAGTCACACATGACTTCAATCTGTAGACCTACCAGCTTCACCATCCATTTTAGATGGAAGCACTTTCCTTTGAGTAAAAGCATGATCATCTTCTTTCTCTCCAAACAGTGATGGTGGGAAGGATCCCATTACACAGATAGGGAAATGTTAATTTTTTATTAGCCCCGGAAAAACAGGAAGCTGAAAGTCAGCCAGAGCAGAAAATAGATTGTTATTTTCTTCCAGTGAATATTCAAAGATGTGTTGTGTTACGCCAAAGAGGATAGGTGTCTACATCAGACCTTATCCTTTTGTAGCTCTGCAGTGATCAGCAGGGAAAATAAAATCATGCAACAAAGGTGTCATTTCCACCCACACTACTGGGTAGAAAAAAACCTGCTATTGAGAATAGTGCTTTTTTCCCCCCTTATATTTCAGGAAGTGGCATCATTCAATTATGTTTTATTAATATATAGACATTATATTAGAGAATAATTAGGGACAGAAAATTGATAATGAACATAGATACATTAAAGTTCAGCAAAATAAAATTAGTCTTTTATACACTCCTTTTAACATGGAAAGGAGAATAGAATTTACTAATAGAATTTTCAAAAAAATACTACTTCGGTGGTATAGACTAGATAGGAAATCTGAACCAAATTAAATCTGTGGACCATTTCCTAGATATTACGGAGACACAAGATTCTGCCCTATTTGCACAAAATTAGTCAGTATTAGGTTGGCAACTGTGTTCCAGGAGAGCAGTGATATTTCAAATTAAGTAGACTTTCAAGGTGATGGAAAAAGTTAAGCAAGCATTGTAAATTATATAAACGATTGTCAGCAAGGAGAAAGAATTTTCTTTCCAATGTCACAACTAATATTTCCTAATTAAAAGAAAACAACAAAACTGAACTGATTTTCTGGGGAAGATACATTCTTAACAAATTTACCAAGAAAACATTCCAGTCATTGTGCTAGCTTGAGCTAATATGATGATGGTTTATTTTCGTAAATACAATATACAGCATCATGAAACTGGAGATATGTCTTCCAAATCTGAGAAGTGCATGTCACAGCCACACCAAACAATAATTATAAAACACAGACATACTGAAAACAGCAAAACAATGCAAAACTTATCATTTTCAATAATAATTTAAATTAACAATATCCAAAAGTTCACAAATTCAAAGAAACACATTGCTACTAGTGTTAACTTGTAATAAATATATTATAGTATTGTAATGAGTTGAATTCTCGTCTATCACTTATACCAGATCATGACAAAAGTACATGTGGCACTAGTCTATGAAATAAGTAACAGAGTTCAATATATTTACTATTCAGTAACTACAATCACTAACATCAGGAATAATTATGTCCTGAAATTATTTTAATCCCCTTCTGTGTATGTTAGCACATATAAGTACACTTCTCTATTTGAGTTAAATTATCTAGTAAAATTACTGGCAATATTCACTTTTTGATTATCATGCTCATCTTCGACAACCTTATGCAAAATCCTTTGAAACAGCTTCTATAAAATTTGGAGCAGACATGAGTATTGTAAATGTGCAAATGATGGCAAAAAGGGTAAATGCAACCAGACATAACCTGTCTATGACAGCAGCTGCAAACTTCCACTCACTGCAGATCTCTTCACCCTCATCTTGCTTCCTGAACCGCATTGCTATGAACTGCACTTCCTCCAGGATCTTCACAATCACTGGAAGAGTATCCATTAAAGCTTTCTTTTGCACGAGCTCAATATCTTCTGCTAAGGGGCAAGTCATCTTCCCGCCCTTGCTGCCCAGGTCGTTTTTCTGTGGGCAGCACGGGCTCTCCATGGCGTGGTAGCTGTAGATGGTGTTGCCATTGCTGGACTGGTGCCCAGGAAGGACGTTCACCTCCATGCTGTTTACACTCAGCTGGTGCTTGGAATAGCTATACTTGCAAGAGAGGGGCTTTATATTTTCCCCAGGTTTTTTCATCCGTAAAAACCAAGCGCACCAATTCAGCAGGATGACACGGACCTGAAAGAGAGTTACCATGGCAGAAATACTCTTCGCATTTTAAAAGTTTTTGAAACATTTTGTGAATATTATAGCTAGTCTGCACAGTCTCTGATTTCTGTGTTCTCCAGCTATCTGCTTCCAAAATGTTTCTTTGAGGGTCTGGCTTTTTACCGAGGATAGCCTTTTATTTTTGGATCTGATCTGAACATAGGGGTGCACAATGTGCACTTAGTTTATAAACCAAAAGAGATGCAAAATCTTACTTTACAGGATGGCCCTTGAAGATCCATCTTTATCAAGCACTCCCAGATCTCTGCAGTTGAGTAGACAGCACAAAACTGGCTGTATGGTTTTCAAACATTTCTCAGATTGTAAGGAAAGAGATACAGTCAAATACCTCTGGGGGCCAATGTTTTGATTTTGCTGAAAAAAATCGCTATACAACAGATTCTAGAACATTTCCCATTCCCGCTGCTATTTTTTACATCTAAATAAAAGACCTTGGCTGGGTTTTTGTGGTTTTTTTGAAAGCTATTTTATACTCCTTTGAGGAGTGCAACCACATAATACATAATACAGCAGGCTTTTTTTCAAAAGAGTAAATAAGTTACATTTAGCAGTTCAAAATTGGAGTGCCACTGTTAACTGCTGTCATATCCCTGTGTGCCGGTGCATCACAAGATGCTCTAATGTGCACATGGCAGACTGTGCCTCATATGTTTCTTGTCAAGGTCATTAAGTGAGCCAGCTCTGGAGAGTGAATCCAGATTTTTTTCCCAGTGAACTGATCTTCAGATGTTTGGTCTGAAATTTGAACCTGCTAGAATTCCTGTTGGTAACACTGTTAAACGCAAAAGGCAGGAGAAAGCTGTGGATTCAGTAAGGTCTTGTGTGAACAACAGCAAGCTAAATTAGCAAAATCTTGTGATTATAAGATCCTCCAGGTATTATGCATACAAAATGGGCATTTACAATGTTCTTGAGCGGGAACAGGACTCTTTGATGACTTTATCATCCTGGCTGCAAGCCAAATAATCTGACATTGAAGAGAGAACATATATGGCCTCTGGTTTCTTTTTTGAGCCTTGACTCACAAGGACTCCCTATGTAATCCTGTTCCTGTGACTTTGGTCATGTTTGACTTGGGACCACATTTTGCCTCCAAAGCTGTTTTAGGTGCAGAAAAAGTTGGCTGCTGTGTTTGCACAGTACAGATAAGGAATGGGGAAATTACAGCTAGCACTCTGAGTTCCTGCTGTAATGAGAACCATAATTTCAGAAAGGAGGGAGCACTAATAACCACAGATAGGAATAATAAATAATAATAATAATAATAATAATAATAATAATAATAATAATAATATAGCCAAAACAAATGACTAGTGAAAGGCAGTTACACAATATTTTAGTTCTGCAATGTGAGGTCTTCTAGGTCAGAGCCCTATACCATTTTCTGTGAGAAATTTTGCTCTCTACCAAAATTCTAGTGAATTTTTTGTTCTTCATTATTTTCATGGTATTGGCTGAAATAGAGTTAATATTTTTCCTAGAAGCAGTGTGGTGTTCTAGATTCAGTCTGAGAATAATGTTGATAAAACACTGATGTTTTGGTTGTTGGAAAATAGTGCTTACTCTGAATCAAGGACTTTGGAGTTTCCTATGCTCTGCCAGTGAGCAGGCACACACAATGCCATGAGGAAGCATGGCCAGGACAGCTGACCTGAACTAGCCAAAGAGATATTTGAAAAGAATATAGTGTGGGGAGTTGTCAATTGCTGCTCAAAAACAGGCTGTGCATCAGTCAGCAGGTGGTGAGCAACTATATTGTGCATCACTTTTCTTTTGCATTTTATTACTTTCTCTCTCTCATCTTTGCTGTTATTATTATTTTATGATTAATTAATAATGATAATATAGATAATATTAATATTATTAATATAATTATATTGTATACTGCTTCAATTATTAAACTGTCCTCTCAAACCACAAAGTGTTGGAGGTTTTTCCTGATTCTCATTTTCATAAGGGAAGGGAGCTGGGATGTGAGCAAGTGGCTGTCTGGTACTTAGGTGCCAGTTGGGTTTAAATGACGACAGTCCTGAAGGATTGTGTTCCATTACTCATATTATTTTGCTTTAAATATTTAATTATTTCCTCCATAGTCACCACATACAAATAGTAACCTATAGTGTTTCACCCTAAAGAAAGGACTCTGCCTTTAATTGAACTTACTTAATTATAATGTGCTCAGACTGCTCATGGACACAAATGGGACAACATGGAACAAAATAAAGATCTTAATTGCTAGCAATGTGTCAACAGTGTAGGTTGCAAAGGGGAAAGACAATTAATTTTCTAGGACTATGAAATTCCAAAACTAAGTCAGACAAACTTTCTTACTAGAAGATGTTAATATGTCTGCCGTAACTCTGAAAGGAGATGTGAACAAAACACTTTTACATAGGAATGCTGATTTTTCTTTCAAGACAGAGTTTTTATTCCTTAGGGAAATTACATTTATAACTACAGTCAAACCCATTTCCCATAGAAAAATAAATACCCAGAAGACAGTAAGACAGCTTTTAATTAGCTTGGATTTCAAATGCCCTATTTCCTTGAAAACACAGTCAGGTATCAACCTGTTCTTGTCATACCAATTAATTCAAGACACAGCTGCAGCATACAGGTTTTTGGAAAACAGCTGAGTATGATAATATGAATATATACTCACACCTGCATTGTCTTGTATGGATTTCTATGAAAAAAGTATATAGGTACAGCTGTCTTTAGAGGTCAACAACCCTTCTGTGAGCCTCTCCTAGCTATAATGCAGCTGTGCTGCTAGCTTCCTTCACAACCATCTGCCTGGCCTAATCCAGAGCAGACAGTCTCCAATTAAAGCTCTCTTGATAAGGGACGTCTGCACCTGAGTAGAACTGTGCATGTCCAGGTTTGAAGCATATCATAAGAGAAGCCTGAAACATAACAAACCTGCTTTAGCACAACAAAGAGCCAGAGTTCTCTTGCCTTTTCCCACAAAACCCCTTCTTCCCTCAGTGCTTGGTGTCTCCATATCTCTTTCCCATACAACAGTCTTGGCTGTCAGTAGAGAAAGTCAGTTGAGCTGTAGTCCACAACTGAAGTTATCCACTCCCAAACAGCTCCTTAGCTGGACCTTCTTTAGTGTTCTTTTCCATCTTAGCTCAGCAGACACTATCAAAAGTGTCTATCAGCCAGCGACTCTCATTTCTCAACTGAGATGCCAACAAATGCCCTGACTGAACACCTTGGATTTAAATTCCTCTCTTGGAAAAAGTTTGTAAGTCAAAGATTAATAGAAAGGAAGGCACAATTCTAAGCAGTGGAATAAGGGAAGTGAGCACCTACAGGGAGGTTAAACACTAACAGGCACTTTCCTCCCTCTTCTGTTGCAAAGTCAAGCAATGACCCCTTGAGAGATGGCAGGGAAAATAAACTGCTCAACTGTAAATGGTTTATAAAGCATGTGTGTTTAGGAAATGTATCCATTCAAATCTTCTGGGTCTGCAGAAGCTCCCACACATGCCCAACTGCCCAATGCCTCCTCCTGCAAGTGACTCCAGAGACAAATCCTTTCAAGCAGGAGGTGATAACAATCCTGTAACAATATCTAATTAATCAGGGTTAGAGTTTGCAATAAACTGATGCCTGGCTCTGACAGGAAGAGGACATTGTGGGAAGTAAATGGTAAGGGCAGGAACTTGTACTGGAAATGCAAAAAATTGTAATAAAAAGCTTTTCTTCTTTCTTATTTCTTCACTTCAGGTTTATTTTTTTATACTGAGTGAAAGTCATTCAAGGTGTCTGTGTAAGAAACACCTGACACAGGTGGAGAAGCAAAATTGGAAAAAAACCCAACAAAACAACAACAACAAAAAGAATAGAGACAGACATGAATTCTAACAACTGAGTCTTGGCCATGTCTTGTAGAGTAAAAGTGCCTGCTTTTGTGGGGTCAGCCTTTTCCCTACGCACTTGCCATTCACTCTTTTGCTCTTGAGATCCCTCAGCCCTGTCAGCTTATCTGGTCTACAGCTTTTACAGTCTATCATCTGGACTTCCCAGTAATGTTTTCCATAGCTTTTGCTTCCTGATGGCGTGTTTTGTAATGTACGCCAGCTCAGCTGTCCGACCACTTGAACAAGGCTTCTCGTGAATGAGAATTTACCGCACATTGTGTTTTCAGCCAAGAAAATAAGAGACTGGTAGAGAGCAAGAGCTGACTTGCAGAGCCTATGAGCAGGTCTAACATGAGCCATTGTGTCTGGGCTCCTCAAAAAGCAATCAAATGGGCTCTGTTACACTGCTGCAGACTCTGTCCATGCAGACATCTGAAGCACGTTTCCCAGATTTGTGCCCTCAGGTTTTGCCTATAGGCAGGTTCATTCAGAATTCAAATTCTTTGCTGCTTTGAAAGTAAGAGGTTTTTAAATCATACAGCACTTTTGGAAATAATTGTAAGTATGCTTAATTGTTATTTGACTTTAAAAAATAAATTGCATTGAAGTGGCAGTCTATTTTAAGACAGGAATTAGAAAGCAGCTCTGCACTTGGGCTGACATTGGTAACCATGTGATACTCAATTATCCAGCATGTCAGGATAATTGTGTAGCATGACAAATGTGGTGAACAAGACATCAGAGGATGCTGTTCAACCAGACTCCTACAATCCTACAGGTTGATAGCTAGGTAGGTAGACTGTGAGTACTTGTATCTTCTTCAGCTTTTGTTCTTTTTCATTCTGTAAACACAAGCACACCTTGCATAATCTAAATCTATTAGGAAAAGGAGAGAGGGGTAAAAAATCATTATTTTCTTTTAACTTGAAAATCTAAAGGAAATATTCCATTTGAAAGACAGCTGGCATTGGTGCCAGACCTCACTGGGCTGACAAAGTCTGTTGCTGTAGAGAAAAGCGGGCCCACATGCAAATGTGGGCATAGATCAGATGGCAGCAGACAAACTGCCCAGTAGAGATGAGTGTTTGTTTAGCACATTCTGTCAGTACTGGTGTCTGCTGGATAAGAAATTAAAGGTTTGCACTTGCAAAGTAGGTGCTGAATGAGATAACTTTGTCATGACTCAACCACCCCATCCTAAGTTTGAAAAGAAAGGCCAAATGGGAGGAATTATTTTTAATGGAGAATAAGAGAAACTGTTTGTACGGGGAAAGCACATTTAATATGCTTGTTCTTCCCCTTCAATTGTAAACGTAAGTGTAAACTATGCTGTTTGTAACCATCTCTTCAGATTAATGGAGAACAACTTCTGTCTCTCACCTATAACAAATTTACTGTAGCTTTTAGACAATTTTCTTTCAGTGGTAACCTCCTAAATGTTTATCACCAAAGCTCCTTACCCATTTGGGCATCTTTCCTGCTTGGGGGTCATGATGATGAAACTGCAGAACCAGCACTGTTACCACCACAGACAGACCAACGATGACCATGATGCTAGCAAAATACTGAGCTGCAAGCAAAAGGAGGACTTGGTTAAGGGGGGAAAAATACAAAAAGCATATAATATTCCTTGGCCATGCCTCAAGATCTACATTTGAGAAGCACTGCACCACGTCTGAACACCCTCTTTTCTGGTCTGCTACACTGGAGCATTAGAGGTATGTATCTGCTCAGCCCCCTCCTCTCCTTGTGAGAGAAGGCCTAGAACACACAAAAGGTGAAAGCTGTTTGGTTTTTGACCCAGAAGAGGAGTGTAGGGCCTCATGGTAAGAACACCTTTGTGCCTGCTGCCCGGACAGTGAGAAACTGAGCTGATAACACCCACTGAACATCAGCATTCCCAATCCCAGGCCTTCCATGGAACCAGCAGAGATGCTGGAGATACTGTCGTCATGATGCCTCTGGATCCCTTCAAAAACTGTCATCAGTTCCCCTCCTTTTCCCCACTATTGCTCCCAGGTTGGTTAGGCATATTTCTCATTAATCTTCTTAGCCCTTGGGACCACTTCTTCTAGTTTCTATGAAAGTACACTACAGCCTCCTTGAATGCTAAATCTAAATCTGCTGTGCAGGAAAGAAACCAAGATCTTGAAAGCCAGAACTGAGGCATGAAGCCATATCTCCTAAGTGTTAGCACAGCCTCCTCATGCCAGGAGAGAGGGTGATGCACTGGAGCGCAAAGCAGAATTACCCACAGGGGTAATGACATTTGAAGGTTTCAGTGGCAAAATACCAGAGAGCATTACTGTTGGCTGACATAATGGTGTAATGTGGGAAAGCACATCATATTGCAGCCTCTTGCAACCACCAGCCCTCCCTCCTGCAGCTTGAAGGAAAAGTAGAAAATTCAATCAAAGCTCCAAAGCAAGTTTTGTTCTGCCTGTTTCTTTATACCATATCCCACAGCTTCAGGAGCAAAACGCCTATCTACAATAACGAGGTTCTAAGGCCTTCCTGAAAACAAGGCTGCAATTGCTTCAAGAGGTATGGCTTTTCATGACAAAATGAATTATGTATCTAGATAAAAACACTCCCAAGGGTGACATGAATTAAAAGGTCTCTATTGCACTTATTCATAGAGAGGAGAGTCAGCAAGCAGGCAGGAGAGCAAACCAGGTTTCAGGGAAACTGTTACACGCCCCATGTAACAGAGAAACACAGCAGTGTTGACATTGTTGTGTCAACAACAATTGTAATTAAATTAAATTGTAAATTTAATTTAATTACTGCCATCAGTCACTACATAACTTCCTTAAACTCTATGCATTTTGATGCCACCACACTTCAAAGGCCTGAAATGGTCCATTTAAAATGGCTTTTAGCTAAGATTATTCTCATATACTTGAAAAATTAGTCACTTGGTTAAACTTGGAAACAACTTGATAATATCTGACTCAAGATCCTAGCCAATGATTAGCAGAGGAATTGACCCAGGGTTTTTTAAGCTGTAAACCTTGGAACAGATGTCAGGAAACAGCTGTGTAGACCTGCTAGTAAATAGAAAACAGTTCTCTCCAGAACAAACTGGGAGCCAGAGGGAAGCCAGGCACCCATAAAGAAAGACATTTTATAGTTTTGCCTGGTGGAAGGCAACGAAGAGGCTGGAGATGGGTCATCTGCATTTTGAGGGGAGGACTGGGGTGCTCCAGTTTAAGGTACACGGAAGTCTTCAGTTGGAAAGTATGGAGGACATCACACATGGTACTTGAGCCTTGTGTGTTAGTATGAGGCAGTCAAATGCATACAAGATATCTGCAAAATCTGGCAGGCAGATCTATGCCTACCAGGTAGGTGCGGGTGCTGTATTCACAGAGAAAGTCACAAAGTCCTGGAAATGCCCAGGACTAGCTGGATTTTGCCAGTCCTGAAGAGACAAGAGTGAAAGTGGAGGAAAAAAATATCAATGACTGGCACAGCTGCTGGTCTTTCACATCTCTGGCTGGAGATATGATGGAGACTATTGCCTCCTTTTGTGTGACAGGAGAAGGTAGAACTGATAGCCATTGATCAAAAAGGAATTGATAGATCATGCTAGATCACATGCCCACACCCATGCCCATGCATCTGCTCAATTGAAAACCTGACTGTCCTTACAATCTAGAACAAGGCAGGGATGGCCAAGACCATGGGTCCAGACTCAGTAAACATTCCCCTGTGAGGGAAGGGCTCAGAACTCAGTGGGTATGTCCACAAGGCAAAACATTCCTGGCTCTGAAATTATATCCTTAGCATTTTCTGATCTTTTCTTCCAGGGTTTAATTCTACATCTCCTCTTTCCTGGCAGCAGAAAAACAGAATTAGTGCAGCAGGAGTAAGACAGATGAGGAAAACTCCTGTGCTGTCCTCCATGCACTTCCTTAAAAGCATGGCCTAATCTTCCAGTCTGTTCTTTTCTGTTCTTGGCAATCCTTTGCCCTCACACCAGCAAGGTCAAACCCATCACTTGGTGACAGCTACAAGGGCTGCTTTCCCTGTTCATCTGTGAGGAGCTGGTGTATTTTTTTGTTTTGTTTATGTCTCAACATATTACGTTTTTTGTTATGTCTCAACAATGGTTGTCAGAGGCACGTAGGGAGGGGTTGCCACGTGTGCCACATCCATGAGTCAGCCAGGAGAAGATGGAGGAAAGCCTTATCTCTGAGGAGACTTTGCCAGGCCACCAAGTCCTGTCTCATATGGGACAAGCCAGTAGGGGACCACTGAAGAACTGTACCCCAGAGACATTCTCCAGTCAGATGGCAAAAGGTATCCTGCATGGGATGCAGTGGGACATCGGACTGGGCCGGTGGTCTCCTGTCAGCAAGCAGGCTTGGACAGGAGCCAGGGGCATAAAAAGTAACTGCACCCCCAAGCTCTGGGGTCTGTTCTGGCCCTTGTCTTTTGACTCTTTTGGAGGCTTTTCGAACTTGATTTTGGACTCCTGCCTTTTGGCTCTCCTGCCCTCGCTGGCTCCTGCTCACCCTCGTGTCTGTCCTGTCTCCCTGTGTCCCTGACCAGCGCCCTCCTGCTTGATCTCTTCATCCCTGCCTGAATCTCTTGCATCCAACCCTGCCTGCCTCCAAGCCTGACCACCAGTGTGATGCTCGCTACAGCCCTGTCCAGGCTCCTGGAGCTCCTGCCTGAGCCCCCCTCACCTCGTGTCTGCCCCCCGTGGTCGCAGCAGCCGTGCCTGGGCAGGCAGCAAGCGCAGCACCGCCCTGGGACATGGACTGCACTCCCCGACCCCCAGTGGTAATGCCCTCTGTTCCCTGTCTCCCCTCTCTCTCTCCCTCTCTCCCATTTTTCTTCCTCTTGCTCTGTATTCTCTAGCCCTCTTTAGTGGGGTGACCCCTTTTAATTTTGTCTTTTAGTTACCAGTAAATGGTTCTCAGGTACAATGTTTTCCTCATTCGGCTTAATTTCCTTCCTGACCATTCATTATTAAAAGTAGTTCCCCACAATAGAATGCAACATCACCTCTAGCATCCTCTCTGATTATGACTATGACTTGGACCCATCCAGCAACCCTGTGAGCAGAGAAGCCTTGCTGCTGAAAGGATCAAACTACAGTGCTCATGGATAATACTTCCTTGGAGACACAGGCTTTAATCTTCACTCAATCTACCCTAGCCCCACCCTGCCCTGAATTAGCAAGCTCTATTTCTGGGTCTCCACTGATGTTGCTGAGCACAAAAATAGGATGCTCTCTGGTGAGGTGGGGCATGGGGGAAACAAGTAATGAGCTTTGGTCTCCCAAGCAACAACCTTGACCTAGCCACCAGACCTTTTCTGGCAGTATTTCAGGAACTATCCTAAATCCTATTTATTCATTTAGTGCTTTGAAGATGTTGCTCCCACAAAGTCCTACGCCCATGTGTCTGCTGACAGAGGTAAAGGCAAATCTGATTTTACAAAGAAGTTCTGCCCCTTTTACTTAAACTGCAGGAAGAAAACTCCCACTAAACATCTCTCTGTGTCCTACTTGTAACTCCTAGTTACTAGATCAGCTTGGAATCTTTAACAATTCCGTTCACTGTGGGAAGTGTCAGGAGCAGCAATCCCAAATCGGGGTAAATGTGAAAGACCAGGAATCTGATTGCTGATAATTCAACTGCTCTGAGGCAGAGCTCAGATGTGACTGGCACATTCCGGAGAGGAAGTAGCTCATTTGCACTCTGCTCTGGGTAGCTGCCCCAGGCCAGAAAAATGCACCAGTGTTTGGAGCATGTGTTTGGAGCCTCTCAATATCCCTTACTTACACAGCAACATACTGTGTATGTAAGTGTACTCAGTATGGATACTGAGGTCTGTATCAGTCACTTCTAAGTGCTCCTCATACATTTTAAAACCTGTATGATGTTTTCTTCAGCAGAGGAGAGTAAACAAAACTTGTGGTTTGGATGCCTGATTGATCTTCAAGAAGTATGAAATATTTGCTCTCGTACAATTGATTTTCTTACTTTTCTTTGCCAGAGGCATTATGTAACATACTATCTGGACAGCAGTTTTAACATCTAGGAATTGTCATCTGTCCCAGGACAATCAGAAGATGATCAGGTGCTGTTGTCATAACAAATATGGATCTAATAAAACCACAGATAGTCAGAAAGTCTTCTAAAAAGTCAGTGAGAACAGCTATTTGTTCTTTGCAGGCATACTCTGATGTCACCTATATTAAAAGGATAGCAATGATTTGCAATTCATAATTTGAAGAGCATTCAGTACCATTTTTGAATGTTTTGTGTCATCTGATGTTAGAGAAGCACCTTAGGATTATTTCAGAGATGTTTTGGAAGACATTCTGCTGAAGTGAAACTGGATTAATTTCAAGGGCTGATTAAGGACAGGGTAAACAAGACAGATAGGTAAGATAGATGTTTTACCTTGATTTTGTCACTGAACAGTGATATATCATATCATTTATCATATTATATCATATCATATATATCATATCATGCTAGCAGTTATCATATGACCCAGATTTGTTAACACAGTTAATCACAAGAAAAACAGAGCATCTGCACTGTGACC